TGGTTTTATGGCTTTTCCTAGGTGGTATCAAGAAACACCTAGTCGCCCCTAGTCACATGAAGGGCACTGATAGACCAAAGAAAGAGTTCTGTCAAAGTCCTTCTGGGGAGCATCAGCCTCATCTTAGATAATGTTTATCTCATTTAATCTCAAAGAGAGGAGGGACCTCAGGAAGGCTTCAGAAGATTCATGAAGTCTTCTGAGCCGAGTGAGCCACTCTGTCTCCCTGAGGAAATGTTAATAGGCCCGGTCTCGTGAAGCTTTTGAGCAGGTTAGCACAGTGGCTGTGTCCCCAGACAGATATGTGGCAAGCAGCTATACAGTTGACAGGGCTTCAGTTCCTTCAACTTTTTAGTTCCACCTTCTGAAGCTTCCTTTCTTTTTATGGTCAGGCTCCCACTTGAGACCCATATTGCTACATCCCAGCAAAAAGAAAAGGACAAGGAGAGTGAAACAAGCATGGCCCTTTCTTTAAAGACCATAGACTCTCGAAAAGAGGTCCAAACGGTTTCCTCTCAGGTTCTCTTCAGTCACAGAACCTGAGAACAGTGACTGAAGCCTAAGTAAAGTCATATATGTAGCTAAGAGATCTATAAATAAGGTAAGAAGGGAAGGTTTGGGCATCTAAGGATGTTAACTCTCCATGCTGCATAATCTAACTCTATCTGAGAGAAGAATTTGTGTGGTGTATTACTAGGGTTTTGTTTCCACACATAGATTAGGAACAAGTGTTGGGCCACTTCAACAACTGAAGGAAGATTTCTCACATTGTCAAGTGCTACCCATTTACAGCTAAACCTAACACCTTCTCCTAAGCCAGCAAGAGCGAAATTAAGCTTGTCACCCAGCTATCAAGACAAATGTTCTTGAAGTGGGGCACTCTATCCCTCTGCCTTCATTTGGTTTATTTACAACAAAAAAGTAGGTTGAGGGATTGAGTTGCAGAAACTTATCTGTGTAACTGTTACTCTATATGTCACAAAACTGATAACCAAATGCTGGAGAGAAAGACAAAAAACAAAACAAAACAAAACAAAAAAAAAACAAACAAACATCTGAATCGTCTTGGTATAGAATGCCCTAACCTGATCACAATGGATAATTAATTGTAGATGGGAGTCTCAGTAAAAATAACACTGACGAGCCTGTTTACATCATTCTTCCCGGAGCAATCTTGACTTAGTTCAGAATGGCAACTCCTACCTGCTGCTTCCCTAGACTAGACAACTCCCCAACTGGTCAGCAATTTTCTTCTTCTTCTTCTTCTTCTTCTTCTTCTTCTTCTTCTTCTTCTTCTTCTTCTTCTTCTTCTTCTTCTTCTTCTTCTTCTTCTTCTTCTTCTTCTCACATAACTGCATTCCTTTCTGGATACACCAGACAAAAAGCTAGGCAAATTTCCGAAAACCAGATTCTACTTAAGAGTCTCTGGGAAAACTTGCTGCTTCCTGGAATCTAGCAATCCATCAACAGGGTGTAAGTCTCATTTGCAGAGCCAGGTAAATCATGCAGCTGCTGCTGGTTTATAATAGGTTTACACACTGCAAGTCAGTCTTGAGCTAAACCGGGAAGGGGACCATAGCTCACAACTGGCCTTGTGATATTATAAAAAAGGAGAGCATAGAAACAATTAGAAATGTCTGACTGTTGCTATGCAAATGAAGATGAGTCCACAAAGGTGGAAAGTGACCTGAAGGTACCCACCCATTTAAGCACTGGACCTGGAAGCACCAGCTCACAGCAAGGGGCGCTTTTCGGTCTTGACACTCAGGATAACATAGGAATTTTAGATGCCATAAACAGAGCATTGTACATAACTTTAGGAGCATATATGAATATACAGCAAGTTCATAATTATCAAGTAAAGTAGTAATCAGCAATCAAAAAAAAAAAACACTTAATAATGTAGCAAACAGTTCTCAATTTTTCCCTGAACTTTTCCTTGAACCTTTGCTACGTTGCTTAACTTATCCTATTTATCCAAACATGTGAAAACAGAGGCTTCTCTGTTATTTCAAATTGCCTGTGGCAGATCCTCATGCCTGGGTACTGTGGAGTTACGTTCCGACTATGATGAAATAAGGCTGATGAACACGGGGGGGAAGAGCAGCTTCTGTCTTTTTATTGTGCTTTATGCCAGGTACCTCAAGTTCCCTCTTCCCCCGATCCTATCCTGTTTCTGACTGTGGAAACTGACATATGAGGAGCTCACTCTATGTCTCTCAGCTAGTAAATAGTCACTGTGTCCACTGTGACAAAAACAGCAAAAGCAGATGATGGCTTCTGTCAGTGTGCGTACAGGAAGCAGTGAATTGAGCTCCGGTCTTTTCCTATTTCCTCTCTTTTCCTAATTTAACTCACTTGACCGGTTTGTATTTCTCAGTTTGTGTCACGTCATCTCGTTTGACCTAAAGCTACACACACACACACACACACACACACACACACTTATTTTATGTAGTGAGATACCCATTATCTCATACCCATGTGTAATACTATTATTTTAAGGAATTAATAAACAAATGGGTAATTTCATAAAACATAATGTATGTTGAAAGCAGGACCACTGTGGGAGAAGAATGGCCTTGCTCTGACACCAGAGAGACTCTTGGCTCTCTTCCTCTCCTCCCTTTGTTCAAAACAGTCTGCATCTTAATATCTTACTGGAAGCAACTTTTTTTTTGTTTGGCATTTTGACAGGGGAGCAGTTATGCCCTATAATCAAAGGAAAACATGAACTGGCCATCTCCTAGCAACTAACTAAAGATTACTCCCAGGGAATAATTTATGGGTCTGAGTGTAAGTGCAATTGTAACATGTAAGTTCAAAGCCAACAGATCCCACACTTGCTCATTAACGTCTTTGAATAGCCTACAAATACACAGGCATGTTTTCAATGATACTGCTGAGCCAACGAGCACAAAAAAAAATGTCCCACATGGGCAATTTCATATGACAGAAAGTCAAGAATTGCAACATTTTGTGTGTGTGTGTGTGTGTGTGTGTGTGTGTGTTGTTATTGCTGAAAAGCTAATTACAATTTGAAGTCACTAGTGATCATTTCTCCATTCTACTACTGCCTTTGCTGATGCCTCCTCCTCCTCTTTCATGTAAAGGGACATCTGTCACACAAGGGCAGACTGCGTCATAGCAACCTGGCCTTCCCTGATGTGTTCTCCCAGTGGGCATCTTCTCTGCCTGTGAAGTCTGGTGCACTGAGATCAGTCAATCAAACCAGCTCCTACTCATTCCCAGGAAGCTGCTGCTCTCAGAGCCTTAATGAGCCAAAGGAAGGTGCAATCAACACAGATTTTATTCTGCCATCTGTGCAGTAAAGAAACAAATATGGCTTTCAAATAATTCATCCCCTCTCTCCAATCCATGACTTAATCAGCTCCTTTTAAAATTATTTATGAAAAGAGAAACTCTGACTGGGGAATTCATTTGAATGGTGACCAAGGCAAAGGAGGATTCCATATTTGAAATGATTTAACCACAACTCACACACTTGAACACCAGGAAATGAATACTTTTTACTAGCAGAGGAGGTAACATTTGGGGACTGTGTGTCAGTCCCATTTCTAAATGTTCTGTGTGTTTCAAGCCATTGATTTCTTCCCACAGCCCCAGGAGGCTGGCACCATTGTCAGCCCTATTTCTAGGCGAGGAAACTCAACCTGGCTCAGAGACAGGGTGAGTGACTTTCTAAAATTACCCATGTGCAAATGGTGGAAGGGGCTTTGACAAAGCTGGTTGGGTTCCAGGTTCAATGCTGTTGCTTATAACCTGGATCACAGTGGGTAGGATGGTCCCCTACCTCAACCTTTGAAGACCAAAGGTTGCTGGGAGGCTGCCATTTCTTAAAATAGCTCAAATCTGGATCACGAGCATTCGTCCTGAAATGCTTTTTCTGTGCTGTCTTCTCGCGACACAGATCGCGCAGCTATATCTACCTGTTCTGAGAGGGGCAAGACAGCTTTCTTGTGGCTCTCCTGCTATGTAGCTCTCATTCAACGCAGGAGACCAAAGAAATGTGGTTGACTTTAAGCCTGTTCAGTGCTGTCAGGGGTCCGTGTAATACACCACCGAACAGGAAACACTGCTATCAAGGACAGCCTTCATTTAAAATTATGGTGTTATATACTCCACCAAAACTTATGGAGCAATTAATGTATATTGTTACTTATCTCCTAGGCACTTAATATTTTTCATCCTTTACGGACACCGTCTTTAAGCTGTTTATACTTAAGGGAAATGTGAATGAAGCCTAAAGAATTTAGGCTCAGTCTAGATTTTCATTCAATTATATTTCAAATCACTGAGCTAAAATTTTTCCATGTAGCATGTAAAATAGTCTTAAGTCTGTTTTTCTTACGGTATTTCTAAAGTAAACAGGGCGCCTTTTTATCCTGATAAGTCAGAGTCTATGGAGAGAGTTACTTTTATCAATATTTATCCTAATTTTAGATTGTAAGCATCATCTTTTTTCCTTTGGCCTCAATTACTACAGGCTATACTTAATTTATTTCCTTAAGATGGAACTTTTCATTATTTTCAATTTTTTCATTATTTTTGAGAATTTCACACATGTATGCAATAAAATATAATCATATTTGCTCTTTTTTCCCCCTTCAGTTCTTCATATCCTTCCAACTTCATGTCTCTCTGTCTCTCTCTCTCTCTCTCTGTCTCTCTCTCTCTAACCCACTAAGTGCAGTTGTTACCACTTAAGTGTCCATGTGCATGGGGCCATCCACTAGAATATGAAAAATCTATCAGTTGCCATAGACTCAAAAAAGAATGGTTCTCATAAGCTTTAGAGATGGCCATGTGGTTGAGTCCTTCTTCTTGCAGGAGACCTGGATTTGACTCCCAGCACCCACATGGTAGCTCACAACCATCTGTCGCTGCAGTTGCAGGGGATCTGGTCCCCTCTTTTCGCCTCTGCTGATACCAGACTGGCACATGGTGCACATACATGCATGCTGGCAAAATACTCACATAAAAATTAATAAAGAATTTGCGTGTCATCCTTGCGCAGGGGCCATGCTAATCTTCTCTGTATCATTCCAATTTTAGTATATGTGCTGAGTGAGTTGTCCCAGAAGCAGAAAGACACGCATGGTATATACTCACTCATATAAACATACAATATAGAATAAACCCACTAAAATCTGTACATCTAAACAAACTAAGCAAAAGAGAGGACCCTAACTAAAATGTTCAATCCCCAACCTGAAAGGCAAAGAGGATGGGCATCAGAAGAAAAAGAAAATAGGAAACAACCTCGGAACCTGCTACAGAGGGCCTCTGAAAGCCAGAAGAAAACAGGAAACAACCTTGAAACCTGCCACAGAGGGCCTCTGAAAGCTTCTGCAGTATAGACTGTCAAAGCAGATGCTGAGTCTGATGGCCAACTGATGGGCAGAGTGAATGGAATTTTATGTAAGAAGTAGGAAATAGTAAGTAAGAGCTGGAGGGGACAGGAACTCCACAAGGAGAGCAACAGAACAAGATAATTTGAACACCAGGGAACTTCCCAGAAAATCATACTCCAACCAAGGACTATTCGTGGAGATGACCCGGAACCCCTGCACAGGTGTAGCCCATGGCAGTTCAGTGTCCAAGTGGGTTACATAGTAATGGAAAGAGGGACTGCCTCTGACATAATCTGATTGGCCTGCTCGTTGATCACTTCCCCCTGAGGGGGGAGCAGCCTTACCAGGCCACAGTAGAGGACAATGCAGCCACTTTTGATGAGAACTGATAGACTAAGATCAGAAAGAAGAGGAGAACATCCCCTATCAGTGGACTTGGGGAGTAGCATGCATGCAGAAAGGGGAGGGAGGGTGGGATCGGGAGGGGAGGAGGGAGGGGCTTATGGGGGGTACAAAATGAATAAAGTGTAATTAATAAAAAATTTAAAAAATAGTAAAGCTAATGGAACTCCTAAAAAAAATTAATAAAGAAATGAATCCCTCCCACCCCTCATAATTATTGTCAATAGCTTCTCAGTCTATGGTAAGGCCGGAATAGCTTGATCCTGCACAGGTCTTGCACACATAACCATAGCTGCTATGAGTCAATGACTGTAATAGCCAGAGACAGTGTATCACAGAACTCCTTCCTGCTCTCTGCTTCTTACATTCTTCCTGTCTCCTATGATGCTCCCTGAGCCTTCGTGGTGGTGGAATTAATATAGATTACTATTTAGGGATGAACACCAAATCTCCCATTGCTTTTTTATTCGTTATGCATCTTTCCAGTGACTGCTATTCATTGCAAAAAACCCAAACAAATGAACAAAAACAAACAAACAAAAAGCTTTCCACACCAAGTTTAAAAACAGCCTAAGTCTGTGGGTGTAATCATAAATATATGAAAGGCAATTTGACAGCATGAACATGTAGCAAAATAACAATAGCAGGTTCCACCCTGGGTTCATATGGCCTCCTCAGCCAAGGGTTATCAACCAAGATTATGGTACCAGGACTTAAATTCCCTCCTGTGGAGCAGGCCTCTCATCCAATCAGAGAGCTCTTAGTTACCCTTAACAGTCATTTGCCACCTTTGCCTCCTGCCTGGCAGGCCTTTCTGATAAGCCTTTGCCCAGTTTGTTATGTCTCCCCTAGAATTCAGGAGTGGTTTTGGGAGAGAAAAAGCTACAGATTGCAGGAGAAAAAAAAATTGATACTGAAATAAATTTATCTCAAGCTATTCTTTCTCTAGTTGTATAATCCTATCTTATAGTTATTATATCAGAATAAATATTAAAACATTTGCTTTTATTCTTAACATCAACTTTCTCAGTTCAGACAAATTATATAATCAAATAGCTCTAAAATTAATCATGATTAAGTAAGTTATTTTATTTGTATTGACATACATTGAAGAGAAAACTTTGGCATGCCTTAAACTATCAGAAGACACTCCACTAGGATTTATTTCCCTTTAACAGGATGATTTATAAGCCTTTAATCTATTGTCTCACAACACAATTCCATATCTCTTCATAGAATCAAGTGTTATAAAAATGTCTTAAGACAAACTCTAAAATTATCATTTGAGGTACTTAGGTAGCAAGATTTATTGCATTTTTGCTATCATAAAACATGTTTTATGAAAATTTTAGATAACAAGTTCTAGGTGCTGATGAGGTGGGAAAAGCCTGAAGTGAATTAGTATAGACGGAACTGAATTAAAATTCAACAGTCTGCTATTGTTCTACTTGGTGTTGGCTTAATGTAGTCATGAAGTTCAAGTGTGATCTTGACATAGCTCAAGCACTAGAGTCAGTGGGTCTAGTGAGAGGCTGGTGATGCCTTTTTGAAGTTTTTTGGTTTTGTTTTTGTTTTTTGCAAGTCACTGTTCAAAAAATATCATGAATTCCAATCTGCTGGCCTTGTCCATTATTAGAAACATTCTCTTTGAAAGAGTTAGAAAGCCTGTTAAAGTGCAAATGTGTTATTTCAGTAAGAGAATACCTCATCCTTTGTAATTTTTTCTTTTTTAAAAGTTTTTTTTCTTTATTAATTACACTTTATTCACTTTGTATCCCCCCTGTGGTTCCCTCCCTCCTCCCATCCCAATCCCTCCCTTCCTCCACCCTCTGCATGCATGCCCCTCCCCAAGTCCACTGATAGGGGAGGTCTTTTTTTCCTTCCTTCTGATCCTAGTCAATTAGGTCTCATCAGGAGTGGCTGCATTGTCTTCTTCTGTGGCCTTGTAATGCTGCTTCCCCCTCAGGGGGAGGCAATTAAAGAGCAGGCCAATCAGTTCATGTCAGAGACAGTCCCTGTTCCTATTACAATGGAACTCACTTGGATACTGAACTGCCATGGGCTACATCTGTGCAGGGGTTCTAGGTTATCTCCATGCATAGTCCTTGGTTGGAGTATCAGTCTCAGGAAAGACCCCTTGTAATTTTAACAAAAACCCTGAGAGGATCTGATATAAGATCCAAACTCATTCACATAGCAAATTAACATACCCAAACAGTCACCTGATTTCTCATTACACTTGAAGATAAGTGATATTTGATTTGCTCTGATGATGACAGGGATAATGCCCTTGGTCAGAATCCAAAGTTACACCAATTAGTGTCTAATTTCACAAATGTAGCAAAAGTAAATAATGGTGTCCACTATCAACATGTGGCAAAATCAATTCATGCGCTGCTATATTGTAATGACAGGGTGCCACTAACAAATAATGACAATGTCATTTCTTTGAAACAGGAATTCTTGTAGCCAAGGCTATCCATAATTTCACCATATAGTCAAGATGACCTTGAATCTCTGACCTCCCCACCTCCATCTCCCAAGAGCTGGGATTATGGCTTGTATCACCATGCCAGAATGTGATACTAATGTTGATGGTTTTGTTATGTTATGGAGCACAGAGTTGTTCTACTGTCTTTGCCATTCTCTGACTCATGTCTCTCCCACAAATATTTTCATAGTTGCCCCAGTGCTAAAAAATGACTATCTCCTTGGAATTCGTAAATGGAAAAGAAATCTTGACTGTAGAGCATCACTATATTCATTCTTTCCCCTGACTGCGCTGTGTGGAGCTGTACCAGAATGAGGGCTTTTCCTCCCAGTAGGTTCCGCCCTATGACTGAGTTTCCTGACTCTGAATCACATTCTCCTGATGAACAGCCCTGCTGTGATGATGAAAATGAGATGATAAACAAACATGGAAGACACAAGGCAGTAAGAAGTACTCTAATAATTTTTCCCCCAGAGAACAATGGGAATGAAGAAGTCAATTTATATGGGGTGGTCTGAAATGGTCGCTCTGATAAGATGATACGGTGGTTTGAATGAGAAATACCCCCCCAGAGTATTGATTACTTGGACATTTGTTGCCCAGTTAGTGGCGGGTTTAATAGGGGCAGCCTTGTTGGAGGAAGTATGTCATTAGGAGTGGAGTTTGAGGGCTCAAAGCTTTGTCTGTCTCTAGTGTGCTATCTGTGCTTAGCGCTTGTGGTTTGAAGACGTGGTGCTCTCAACCTGCTGCCATGTGTCCTCAGTAGAATGGAAGTTTATTGTTCTGGAGCCATGTGCCCTAATGACCTCTCCCTTCTATAGCTTTGCCTCGGTCATGGTGTTTTATTTCAGCAACAGAAACCTAACTAAGGCAGGTATCATCTGAGCACTAAGATGAGGGACTAAAGAACAATGCTGCTAAACTCTAGCCAGAGAGGGAAAACTCTGGGATAGTAGTGGACTTGATGTGTGACAAAAACAATGAAATATTCCAGATCCTGGAACAGACTAGGCAAGGAGAAACAGTGGTAGCAATGAGCCTAGCTACCATGAGCCTCCAGGATACAGCAGGGATGGGATGGGACCATGAGTTGGGGGCATTTGAACAGAGTGAACCCTCTCTGTCAGATGTTACAACCAGCCCTCTGAATATCCAAGCATCTGAACACTGCAGATGCAGCCACAAGCAGAGGAAGAGAAACCAGCCATGAGGCACTGAAACAGTCAAGACAGTGCGAAGCCACAAGATGCTCACAGAGGAGTATGGATGTTTGAGTTCTATATATACAAGATATTGTAAGATTTGATCACAAATGAACATGGTAAAAGCAATTATGAGTCAAATAAATCAATGCTTTGAGGCTGGAAAGTTGCACATTATTTTGGCAATACTGGAAAGCAGTAAAATCTTTGGCAGTACATTCTGAGAAAGTGCTCTACCATTGAGCTATGTTCCTAGCATCTCCAGTATTCTGTAGTATTCTTCTCCTCTTTCTTCTTCTCCTCCTCCTCCACTTCCTACCCCCTCTCTTTCTTCTTCTTTTCCTCATCCTCCTCCTTTTTCTCCTCCTTCTCTTCCTCCTCTTCTTTTTTCTCCTTCTTCTTTGTTGTTGTCATTATCATCGTGTCATCTTCTTCATCTTCTTCTTTTCTGAGATAGGTTTTAAACTTACTCTGAAGCCCAGGCTGGACTTGAACTTGTAACATTCCTGCCTCTGTTTCCTGAGTGCTAGTATTTCAAGTTTATGCCATTAGACCTGACAATTGTGATGCTTTTTGCAGAGATATAGCAGGGTGGACCAAAGATCTGGGTCGTGTGATTATTGGGCATGCACAAATGG